TTATATATTTCTGTATTTATCTTTTTGACAAATGTATTATCAGGATTTGGTAAAGCGATAAATAAGTGATTAAATTGAGAAATTAGGATAGACTTTATTATATTTATTCTCCCTATTGGTGTAAGTATTCTCCTACTCCAAGTCTTCATCAAAGCTTTAAGTTTTACTAGTTTTTTATCAAAATTTATTTTTGGAATACGATGTAGATCAACATGAAAATCAATACCCAGAAGTGTAAACCTTGTATGTCCCCACTGTAAATTCCATTCATTAGCCATAACCTCATCACTATATTTTTTACTCCCTATCCAAACTACTTCGGTTTTTCCCAAATTCATTTTTAATCCGGATATTTTTTCAAAGTATTTTAATTCTTTTATAGATTCTCTAAGTGATATTTCTGATCCGTCCAGAATTAAAGATGTGTCGTCTGCATATTGTGAAAGTAAAATAGGTTGTTCAGCTTCGAGTACTTTTAAGCCTTTGATATTCTTGTTATTTCTTAATTTGATTGCCAAAATTTCCGAACAGAGGATAAAAATATATGGTGAAATCGGATCACCTTGTCGGCAACCCCTTTTTATATCAAAGAATTTTGACAGATTCCCCCCCTAATTAATTGCCGAATTAGAGATTTTTTGAAAAGTTTTTACCCATTTTTTGATAATATGTCCAAAATTAAAGAAATCCAATACTTCATCAATAAATTTCCAGGATACAGAATCAAAAGCTTTTTCAAAATCTATCATGAGTAACATCCCCGGTATATTATTTTCCTCTGTAAATTGCATTATATCATAGATTAACCTGGTGTTTTCCCCAATGTAACGCCCAGAAATAAAACCTTGGTAACTTCATTTTTACCAACCTTTCATAGTACAGAGTATTTTAAACACAAGTAATTTGGTGTTAAACATTCTTGCATTGTTAGGTCATGTTAGCGAAAAAAGTAACCTTCCCAATTGCAATATAAGACTTGTTATCAGCATATTGTAGGCAAGGTACTTGTACTGTCTATAGGAAATCTGACTTAATTTTCATCTTTCCTGTTAACATGGTGTATCATGTTGGCTCCCACGTTTAGTCTGTTAAAAACTTTACCCATTTATCTCTAGTGATCAAGTCTCAGCTATATATAGTTACATACCTCGACTGTAGTTATGTACTTGACTACATTTGTCATGAACTTATCTATATTATGTACATACCTTTGCGATCTTAATATATTTGGCTGCATTCGTCATGTCCCCACTATTTTTTGCGTGTAATGCTGCCTGCTTGTACTGCTGTTGGCGTGTCACTAATATCGTTTGTTCTGGAAATCAAGTGTTACCTGTACATCATATGCTATTATTATCCATAAATAAGAAATTTCATAATCAATGATGAAGCTATCAGATTAATTTATTGAAACAGTTATATACATTCATACCAATCCTTTTATAATCAACACATCTGTATAATCCAGACACCTGTATAAACCAGACACATGCATAAACCAGACACCTGCATAAACCAGATACACATATAATACAGACACACATATAATACAGACACCTGTATAATATAGACACCAGTGTAAACCAGACACATGGAACCTGTGTGATCAGGATATCTGTTTAAACGAGGTCTAATTCCAACCTGTGTAATCTGGATTCCGTTTCAAGTAGGTCTAATTCCAACCTGTGTAATCTGGTCACCTGTATAAACCATGTATCACTCTATACACTTATAATTACATGTTACTCCAACCTGTGTAATCTGGACACCTGTATAAACCAGGTCTAACTATGTATACACTTACATGTAACTCCAACCTGTGTAATCTGGATACCTGTATAAACCAGGTTTCACTCTATACACTTATATTTAACTACAACTTGTGTAATCTGGAATCTGCATATCAAAGGCCTAAAAGGTCAGTAAGCCAGGTAGGTTGATAAAACCTTGTGATAATTTCAACAGTTATACATATCCACATTATCAACCGAACAGCCAAGTAAAAACAAATTCAAATGAGGAATCCAGAGCTATAACAGTAGCTTGGGAAAGTCACAAACTGGAAGTAGTAGCTAACGATAATTATACTTATTACTTTTAGGAGCCCATTTCAAATTCGAAGTTTACTGAATAAGAACGGTCACTGAAAAACATTAAAGGGAATGTAAGAAGTGAATTACCCGGAGAGGATTGCGCAGTAGTTTGGGTTTCAGGTACAACGGGAGCCCTCTCTTGGACTGGTGCAGGTTTGGGGGAAGGCTCTCTTTGTGGTAGTGTTGGCTCAAACACAGGAGCTAGAGATATCAAAAGAATTACTGCATGATATCGGGAAATGAAAAATAAATATTTGTTTATTTGTATTGCTCGTGGAAAATCTAGATTTAAAAACATCTGGAAATTAATTAGCAATCATAGTTCCAGAAATTCATTTTAACAATTTAAACTGAATTCTGGAATGAATACATCAATTTTTCTTTACAATACAATTTTAAGCCTCAAAGAAATCTTATCCTGATTTGACACATCCAAATGCAAAATAAAGTTTCATTTGGAAACTCAAACATGAGCTTTTGAATCACTGACTGACCTTGGCTTGCAGCAGGTGGAGGACGAGGGGCGTTGGATGACACAGTAACAGGTGGGGGGATGTCATCCTCAGATATGGCCCTACCAGCTTTCACTTTCTTGTTAAGGTCCTGTAATGTCTGTATACCAAAACAATATTTTACCATGTACCACATGTTCAGTTGTATAACAAATAACTTCTGGTTTGGACAAAAATACAAAGCTAAGCTTGTTCAAACTATCAAGGTGAAATTTACCTTAAGATACTGAAACTATGTATTTTCCATAATGGTTTGCAACTTTGATGCCCAAGTCAAGGTGCCTTATTTTAAATTGTTTCTGATGTAACCATGATGCCGCTTTCCATGTGTATATATGTATAAGAGTACATAACTTTACTGAATATTTAAGGTGCCCTGTTTTGAGTTGTCCATTACAGTACATAACATGTATGCCCCTGTCAATGTGCCCTGTTTTGAGTTGTCCATGACAGTACATAACATGTATGCCCCTGTCAGTGTGCCCTATTTTGAGTTGTCCATGACAGTACATAACATGTATGCCCCTGTCAATGTGCCCTATTTTGAGTTGTCCATGACAGTACATAACATGTATGCCCCTGTCAATGTGCCCTATTTTGAGTTGTCCATGACAGTACATAACATGTATGCCCCTGTCAATGTGCCCTATTTTGAGTTGTCCATGACAGTACATAACATGTATGCCCCTGTCAATGTGCCCTATTTTGAGTTGTCCATGACAGTACATAACATGTATGCCCCTGTCAATGTGCCCTATTTTGAGTTGTCCATGACAGTACATAACATGTATGCCCCTGTCAATGTGCCCTATTTTGAGTTGTCCATGACAGTACATAACATGTATGCCCCTGTCAATGTGCCCTATTTTGAGTTGTCCATGACAGTACATAACATGTATGCCCCTGTCAATGTGCCCTATTTTGAGTTGTCCATGACAGTACATAACATGTATGCCCCTGTCAATGTGCCCTATTTTGAGTTGTCCATGACAGTACATAACATGTATGCCCCTGTCAATGTGCCCTATTTTGAGTTGTCCATGACAGTACATAACATGTATGCCCCTGTCAATGTGCCCTATTTTGAGTTGTCCATGACAGTACATAACATGTATGCCCCTGTCAATGTGCCCTATTTTGAGTTGTCCATGACAGTACATAACATGTATGCCCCTGTCAATGTGCCCTATTTTGAGTTGTCCATGACAGTACATAACATGTATGCCCCTGTCAATGTGCCCTATTTTGAGTTGTCCATGACAGTACATAACATGTATGCCCCTGTCAATGTGCCCTATTTTGAGTTGTCCATGACAGTACATAACATGTATGCCCCTGTCAATGTGCCCTATTTTGAGTTGTCCATGACAGTACATAACATGTATGCCCCTGTCAATGTGCCCTATTTTGAGTTGTCCATGACAGTACATAACATGTATGCCCCTGTCAATGTGCCCTATTTTGAGTTGTCCATGACAGTACATAACATGTATGCCCCTGTCAATGTGCCCTATTTTGAGTTGTCCATGACAGTACATAACATGTATGCCCCTGTCAATGTGCCCTATTTTGAGTTGTCCATGACAGTACATAACATGTATGCCCCTGTCAATGTGCCCTATTTTGAGTTGTCCATGACAGTACATAACATGTATGCCCCTGTCAATGTGCCCTATTTTGAGTTGTCCATGACAGTACATAACATGTATGCCCCTGTCAATGTGCCCTATTTTGAGTTGTCCATGACAGTACATAACATGTATGCCCCTGTCAATGTGCCCTATTTTGAGTTGTCCATGACAGTACATAACATGTATGCCCCTGTCAATGTGCCCTATTTTGAGTTGTCCATGACAGTACATAACATGTATGCCCCTGTCAATGTGCCCTATTTTGAGTTGTCCATGACAGTACATAACATGTATGCCCCTGTCAATGTGCCCTATTTTGAGTTGTCCATGACAGTACATAACATGTATGCCCCTGTCAATGTGCCCTATTTTGAGTTGTCCATGACAGTACATAACATGTATGCCCCTGTCAATGTGCCCTATTTTGAGTTGTCCATGACAGTACATAACATGTATGCCCCTGTCAATGTGCCCTATTTTGAGTTGTCCATGACAGTACATAACATGTATGCCCCTGTCAATGTGCCCTATTTTGAGTTGTCCATGACAGTACATAACATGTATGCCCCTGTCAATGTGCCCTATTTTGAGTTGTCCATGACAGTACATAACATGTATGCCCCTGTCAATGTGCCCTATTTTGAGTTGTCCATGACAGTACATAACATGTATGCCCCTGTCAATGTGCCCTATTTTGAGTTGTCCATGACAGTACATAACATGTATGCCCCTGTCAATGTGCCCTATTTTGAGTTGTCCATGACAGTACATAACATGTATGCCCCTGTCAATGTGCCCTATTTTGAGTTGTCCATGACAGTACATAACATGTATGCCCCTGTCAATGTGCCCTATTTTGAGTTGTCCATGACAGTACATAACATGTATGCCCCTGTCAATGTGCCCTATTTTGAGTTGTCCATGACAGTACATAACATGTATGCCCCTGTCAATGTGCCCTATTTTGAGTTGTCCATGACAGTACATAACATGTATGCCCCTGTCAATGTGCCCTATTTTGAGTTGTCCATGACAGTACATAACATGTATGCCCCTGTCAATGTGCCCTATTTTGAGTTGTCCATGACAGTACATAACATGCATGCCCCTGTCAATGTGCCCTATTTTGAGTTGTCCATGACTGCATGTACATAACATGTATGCCCCTGTCAATGTGCCCTATTTTGAGTTGTCCATTACAGTACATAACCTGTATGCCCCTGTCAATGTGCCCCATTTTGAGTTGTCCATGACAGTAAACCACATGTATGCCCCTGCCAACGTGCCCTATTTTGAGTTATCCATTACAGTACATAACATGTATGCCCCTGTCAATTTGCCCTATTTTGAGTTGTCCATGAAAGTCCCCAACACCTATCCCCCTGTCAATGTGCCCTATTTTGAGTTGTGAATGACAGTACATAACATGCCTGCCCCTGTCAATGTGCCCTATTTTGAGTTGTCCATGACAGTACATAACATTTATGCCCCTGTCAATGTGCCCTATTTTGAACTGTCCCTAGTATTACCTTAATGCCCCTTTCCAGGCGTCTCTGTTTGGAGCTGTCGCCTGCCTCCTTGGCAGCCTGCTGTGCCTGTTGGTACAGGGACAGACGTTCCTGAACTACAGAAAGCATGTCGACGCTCTGCTGTGGCACAGATGCACTCTGTGAAGAAGGGGTTTCTTGTTCATCGTCATCATCATCCTCAGCCTCAAGATCTTGAAGCTCTGCCTTAAAATTACAAAAAAGGCTTCCAAATATTTATTTTGAAATTCTTAGAAAGAAACTGATAATTTCAATAGATTTTCTTTCAGTGTTTAAACAGAATTATGCAATTACAGTGTATGTACACAGGCTACGCATATTGTAACATGCAAACTGCAGCTGTCATCCATCTGCCCACTGACCATGCCCGAAGTTGCTGACCTAGTGAGCAAGTCCCAGGGTTATACCAAATTGTTTGAAATGCTAGCGTGCTAGCAAGGCAGGATTTTTCCTTAACTCATTCACCCCTGAAGACACATTTTTACTCTTCCAATTCAATGGTTGGAATAGTTCATTATGAAATTTCAGGAGTGAATGAGTTAACATTTCTTTGTGGATACATTATTTTTTAGATTGCACTACAGCAGAGCAGACACTATCATAACTGACGTATTAGGTTTACTTAGTTATGGGACAGACTGATGTAACCTACCAATAAATCGGGATCTTCTGTATCAGACATCTCTTCCTCACTATTGATATCCTTCATACAGTCATCAGCCATCTTACCAATATCTTGTAGACTCACAAGATCTTTGCCTGTTCAAAACACAACACATGATCCATGAAAAAAACATAATGAGAAAAAAAATACAGTAAGACATAAATGATGATTCATAATTACCCTCAAAATGTTTACATGGGTGTCGGTAAGGATCATTTACAAATGATAATTCAGAAGGTCCTTTGTAAATTCTTGATATTGAGATAAAATTATCCCTGTATAATTTTTACGCCCCGACCTTCTGAAATCGTTTATAAATGATCCTTACAGGCACTCATGTAAACACTTTGGGGGTAATGTTCAAACATACAAACATACATATACATATACATATACATACATACATACATACATACATACATATACATACATACATACATGGTCGACCTTTGCTTTCCATGTGGAAATATTTCATTACATAAACTTGTAAACACAATCTAAAATCACAACTTGGTAAGTTAGTTTGGGTTTTTTCTTAACAAACAACAGTACACAACTCTTAGCAAGAAAGTTCATCTGGTTGCTGACCTAGCCTGCTACCTTGTTGCATCTGATTTGAGAATTGACCCACATCAGTCTTTGGTATACTTAAGCCAGAATGCTATTCATTGGCATCTGGTCTTGGGACATGGACCTATAGCTTTCATGGAGGCCATTTCTGTTTTTTCTTCAAATCCACAAATAAAACTTTAGCCAAATTCTCAAAACAAAATTTATGGATTTTGTCTTGGTAGTCCCATGTTCTGTGAAAAACAGTTAAAATGGTAATTATAACAAAATCATGTAACATCACTTATGTTCATAGTGCTATGACTGCAACTTCAATGAGGTTTGGGTTCATGTAGTGGACATATTAAACAAAATATATGAACGCCACATGTACACAAATGTCATTAATTTTCTAGTGAAGCCTATTAAGGAAATAAAATCATTTAAAGGGCAAATAAGATTTTGCAATGAGCACCAACCTTTCTTGTCTTTTGTCCTAGGCTTAGGTGGCCCCTCGCCTTGAAGGGCAAGTAACTCTGCTTCTAATGCTGCATCATCGTCATCATCCATTCCATGCCCACCCATATTGCCAGCAAATCCAAGCTGGCAATTGAAAAAAAAATAGTTTCTATAGGGATGTCAAAATATATTGTAAAACAGGTATACTGCAATACACGGGTATATCGTATCGTACCACAATACAGAGATGATATATTGCTGTATCGCAATATTGTTCAAAAGCATGTTTTATGTATCTGCTTGGTGTTTTAACCTTGCAAATTACTGCAAATATTCTAACAGATATGCCTATTTAGCTAAAAGCAGGCTTTTAACAGTTCAAATTTTGTAATCGATGGATGATTTGACAAAAATCTTAAATCTATGTAATCCATATTATTTATGATTAAGTTTGATATCATTCTGACAACAACTTATTATAAAATTGAGCACATCCTTCCTATGACAATATATCGGGATACGTATCGCAATACATTCCTTCTGTATTGCAATATATCGTGATACACTCTGGGCGTATTCTGACACCCCTTAGTTTCAACCTATTTCCTGAATATTTACTGATACATTATTCAAAGATCAACAAACACCAATTGCAAATTCCGTATCAATATAATGTGTGCTGTTATATTCAGTTGATCGAGTACTAGTGTTGACGGAAAACGGAAGAAAACTCCTGACAGCATTAATTCTAGGGTCTGAATTCACCCAGCCAAATCAGTAGACATTGATCTGCACAAGCTTTAATTACTGTACCACTACTCTAGATCAACATTACAGAACACTTTTGATTTCCAGCTTTCTGGAATGTTAGTGATTTAAACCTCAGGTACAGCACTTGGTCTCATGAATGTGAAATCTAAGATGACTGGGTAATCCTGTTTAAAACTTTGTATGTATAATGATGTACTTTTGAAATAGTATGACAGCATCATATAAACTGTGATTAACTATATATGGTACTACAATTTGAGTTAACTCATTCACCTCTGAAGACACATTTGAACTCTTCCAATTCAAAGGTTGGAATAGTTCATTATGAAATTTCAGGGGTGAATGAGTTAAAAGACAATACTTGTGCATACCAGAGGTACAAGAACTAGGCAGTTCTGTTTCTGGTCTGAAATCAGAAATGTCCCTCTGGATGTAGACCATTCCACTTCCATACAGCTGTCACTGGGAGATGTGATTGATGCCTCAGTCATCATACATACAGTGATCAGCTACATTTGGACATTATAGCCACATAAAGTCAGACAGACAACTAACCAGTGAAATAGGTCAATGGTCATAAACCAGTGCACACATTTGAATGAGAATAGACATTATTTTATAGGATAAAGATGTATAGGCATTGATCAATACATTGTCTGTGATCATGAGACTATAGAGTGTTAAGTTTGTTTGTTTGTGTTTTATGTCCTATTAACAGCTATGGTCATTTAAGGACGTGCCAGGTTTTGGTGGTGGAGAAAAGCCGGAATTCCCGGAGAAAAACCACCAACCTACGGCCAGTACCTGGCGACTGTCCCACGTAGGTCTCGAACCCGCGACCCAGTGGTGGAGAGCTAGTGATAGCAGATATAATGTAAGACATCTTAACCACTTGGCCTCTCCCCAACCTAGTGGTGGAGAGCTAGTGGTAGCAGAATGTCAGACGCCTTAACCACTTGTCCACCACAGACCCAAAAGCCGTAAAGTGAAAAGTGGTTCTGGAGTTTTCATAAATGATCTCATAAACGGAAAAGGAGATGGGAATAGATATTACATTGGACACAATGTAAGCTGTGATAATATATTTTGTACTATATAAAGTCTTCTTAAATCATTTTTGAAACACAAAAGTATTACCTGGTATACATGTACAGGAATATGCAAAAATGTCTCACAAGTGCCTCAACTAAACTCAGATGTTGTGATCATGATGGTATCATAATGATTATCATAAATGTTAATACACCTATAATGGCCACTATGATAAAGAACCTGTACATAGCGAGCTGTCTTAACAGTTGTAATGTGGTTGAAGCCAAGTCACATGCTTTAACGAAACTCATATGGTGACATCCCCTTCCCTAAAAACAGACTAGAGCAGATTTTTAAAGCAAGGAGCATATATGTATAGTGAATACCAGGTAACTTTTTCTGATAATATCAAGGTTATGGATAAGCTTAATATGATTCTTGATAATGTCATAGTAAAATGACAGCCAAAATCAGCTCAGAAATTTTAAGGAGGAGAATTTCAAATTCACCAGCATAAATGATATTACACTGTAAGACTATGTTTTTTATGATTGGTATCAAGTAATTTTAGACACCAGTCATTATCTCATATTATACTATCTTAACGATTCTCTCATGCTTCACATATGCAGTACGTATTTATTAGATGATGTCACTACAAATGTCTAGTATATGTAGTCTGCTATAGTACTGGACAGTCTCTCGTAATCAAGCACACACAGGACACCACCTAGTTGTTGTGCCCCCTTGCCCCTTGGCACTACCACAACAGACTGTATACAGTAAACAAAAACAAAAAACCTTTAACATTTTAACAAATTGTGTCCAGGCCTAGGTCCTACAGCGTTTTGGTTTGAATATAGTTTTTTCTTGATGAAATGATAGAACTTCTACAAAATTTTACCATCAATTGGAAATACTGTTTTCAGAAATTGATGCATTGGCATGTACATCAGGTCCAGTACACTCTGCCGATTGAGCTATATAGCTGTAAAGACCTATAATAGCTCTATTGACCTATCTGAAATAGGTCTTTTGAGCTATTTTCAAGTGATTTTCTTTTTTAAGGAAAACGGAACAAAGTTGCATTTAAAAGAAGATTGTATCATTAGGTTGATAACAAAAGACATTAAATATAAGTATTCTTTTTAAAAAATAATAATATAAAGAAATCGGAAATTTTACATTTATGAAAAATGAAAATAAACATCTAAATGTATGCTTTTTGTAGTCAACATTACCATTAACCTTATTGTTTTATGCGACTTTGCTTCAATTTAATTAAATTTGAAATCTGAGGAAATATAGCTCAATACAGCTATAATTTATAGGTGTATATAGCTATATAGGTCTTTATAGCTATATAGCTCAATCGGCAGTGTACTGGACCTGGTACATGTAGGTAATTTTGTGTTTCATAACCCGTTAAGAAATTAATGTACTGAACACTAGTTGGATACATTTTTCACACTTCTGATATACATCAACCCATACATACATGTATACCAGGTAATCATTTTGTCACATCTCATCTGCAACAATACACCAGAGGCGGTATATATGCATATTATTGGAAGTAGAAGAAGATGAATAGCTAGGTCTCTAACTTGATCAATCGGGTAACGTCACGCTACCACAATTGGTACACTACCCAAATTGGTACACGGTCAGAAAATTGTTCGAATAGTACTTTAAAATTAAATTTGAGCATTTTCCATTAACAGTATAACAAAATAGACATTTAACAGCATTTCTGCCGAATAGTTTTGTTTTCAGGAACATTTTAAGAGTACACGATGACTTGAAAGTAAACATATCGGAAAACCAGTAAAAAAGACGTACGTCGACGAAACTTTGGAGGATTTTCAAGGGGTTAAATATAAGCATGTTTAAATGTTGATTTCTGGTCCTTATATTCGGATAATATAAAAGTAAATATATACAATTATAGTTCAGTGTGGTATCTATAAAAGCAATATATTTTGTTGTAATCGGCACATCAACTTGTAGAAATATAAACAATTTCCATAGCCTGTGATATGGTGTACCAATTTGGGTATTATTTACGGCCGAAAAACGGACGAAATCTCACTCCGAGTTTAGCGATCTATTTTCAAAAATAAATTACTTAGATATAAATCTTTTCCTGAAAATGAACCTCCATAGGTAGTCTTTGTCAAGAATCAAGAAACATTCCAGATACAAGATCTGAATTTTTAAAGATCACTAAAAAAACTGTCAAAATTGTACCAATTGTGGTAGCGTCACGTTAATGGAGCAAAGGCAAATCTGGCTATAGTATAACATGACTTAAAGTTTATAAGGCAAAAGTAAGCATATAAGTTACCTATGGTCGCAATGATTTCGGGCACATCTATTTCACTACATAGCAAGATTTGCCGGTGCTTCATAGCAACCAATTACTGAATTAGGTATTGACGACCACACTTATTTGTCTACCATTTATGTCGCTATATGGCATTCTTTGACTGTGGATACTGATTAAGAGGGGCAAAATTATATTCAAGTATTGCATTTATTTACTCCACTATGCATGTTCAGATGTATACCGTAGTAATTGTATGACTATGTGTCATCATGGTCATATGCTGAAGCAGCTACTTGTTGACGTCTGAAAAAAAAAATTGTCTTAGGCTCTTACCTGGTTCATTAAATCGGCTCCTTTCCTTTTAGGAGGATCAACTGCTTCTTTCTTTCTACCAAACATATTTGGACAATGGAAATTCAGTTACAAGTTTGAATCGTCATTAACTTCGTATTCGTTTTCATCACGGCTTCCGCATTCTGCATCGGAGGATATCATCTGATCACTAAAACGTTTGTAGGACTTAGTTGCTAGTAAATAGTGTACAAGCGTCAATGCAACGGTGATTTAACTCTTTGATACCGTAGTTATACACATAACCAACCCACATATTTTTATATAGACTTATTTGTTTCTCTTTTGGAATAATTCCATTAGTACTTTACGTAATTTCACAAGCCAGATTGCTACACCAAATCGATCCCCAGGAAACAAAAAGAAATAAAGTTCTTAGGTGATTTAGCCGATCTAACATCTACAGGGATGGAACTGCAAACGACTGATCAGGGTTATTGAAAGTACGCTTATGTAATTCTGAAAAAGGCCTCATAATAAAAACAATGATCTCGAGTCGTAATTGTGAATGTTGGATCATTACTTAAATTGATTAGTTGAATAGTCAGGTGTCAGTTTATTTATTGTTTATACATAAACATTGCTTTCTGGAAATGTATTCTACAATAATTGGTATAATTTTGAGTTTATTGAACATTTCATCCTATGTTATATCATTGGGATAGCCTAGTCAGGATAAATGCGAGCTATTTGCTTTTTTGTGTAGTTTATTAAGATGAAAGGATACAGCATTACCCAGACTGTGCAGCAATAATCTAAATGAGGTTGTACATGTATATATATGCCTTATAGAAAAGAATCGGAGTATCTCATTTAAGACATTTTTTTTAACTCAAAGGTGAATTTATTTATTTTTTAAGTTACATAGTAAATTTGGGTTGACCATGACAAAATCGTCTTGGATACCGAACCTAACATCTTAGGAGGTTTTACATATTCTATACAACTGGCTGTAACCTTAAGGCCTTGTTTGATTAGGTGATTCTCTTGAAATGAGCGTAGCTTTGAGCTTACTTATATTTATTCTCATGCACCAATCGTGTTTAACAGTACAAGCATTGCTTAATTCATTTCCAGTCTCTATAACTGACTTTGAATGACAGGATCTTGTCGCATCATCAGCAAAAATATTTGCTCTGCTGTCGTCTATGGTAAGATGTAGATCATTAATATATACTAGAAGAAAAATGGTGGACCAGGAATTGTTCCTTTAGGAACTCCACTCTTTACAACTGAACTAAATCTGCTGGTATTCATATGATACTAAACAAATATCTTATTTAGTATAAGGATATTTTTGCACTAGTTCTGCTTAGGTTGATTAATATTAGGTTGGAAATAGGTAATGTTTCCCACAGTGTAAGAGTTTTAAAGGCATGGAGATTGGCTTCGAAAAGGGCACTAATAGCGTCAGATGGCTAATCCAGGCGTCCCCCGAGACCCATGAAAGGTTCAGGACAGCTAGGGCTGGCACCAGTTCCGTATTCTCAATCCTGCCCCAGTGTTCTCCACTAACGCGTTGATGAAACTCTCTCGTATAACATCAACATCATCAGTCGCTGTCTAGTCCAATGCCTCTGTGACGCTGGTCATCTTGGACAGGCAAGGTCCTGGTCTCCGTTTCAGGTTCTGACGGTTGGTGATAGTGGGCTACATATTGGGCGTTATCACGGAGCGGTCCGTAACCTTATCGGACACCCTGGTGAGAGAGGCCACATAGCGCAAACATCACACAGAAGATGGAGAAAGTAGACCTTCCTTAAGGACTGCATCACCTTCCTAAGAGATTCTGCTGGTGTCCCTGATCTGTCTCCCAGAGTATTTTCTAGACCTGATGTGACAGCATTTTCCAGTTCCCTTGCGATTGGTATGTACAGCTTGCAAACAGTCTGCAGGGCACTCTCATGGCTCAGCCACCCGATGTGTGGGGTCTTCTTCAATATTAAGTGCACATATAGGTCTCAAGCTCACCTATATCTCTCAGGAGGATCTGCATGCATATGGCATTTAAAGCTCTGTTCGGACTCTTGATGTAATGGTAGTATTTTAAAAGACCCACCAGAATCTCGCCTGTATTTTTCAATATGCGGGATTGCCTTGATTGCCTTTGATACTGCCAGTTGCAGACAGTGGTTCATGTAATGCATGATGGTGAGAGTTGGCTGTCATTCTTGTCATACAAAAACACAACCCTTCCTTCCAAGCGTAAGAAAGGGGTCATCACTGGCAAACGATGTCAGTGTCGTCAAAGACAATCTAGATTCCACCAGGTACTCCTTCGTTGTATCGTAAACTGTCTGTGCTACTCCATTTGGTAACCGGATGTCTTTTAGAAATGTCAGCTTTGCCTCACCATTATCAATGTTGCATGTCACAAGGGCCACATGTTTTCGCGTCTGTACGTCTGTTCCTTCGACCAGCATAAGTACACAGCTTCCACTTGAGACGACAGTGCTCTCAAATTGTTCCCGAGGTACCTCAGTCTGACACTCTACAAACTCCTCAACACTCCTATGACTGGTGTTCGATGCATTATTGGAACTTTTTTGGCATCTTCCAAGGCATTGGTTTACTTTGAGTTCAATACTCTATCTAACACTGTGTTATGCAGTTAACTCGAAGGAGACTGCCTACAAGGGCACAAAGGATGTTTACTGGTGAGTTTTTTTCACTGGGTCGAGGTGCAGACAAATGCAACCACTGTTGTTCCAGGCAGAGCCTCCATTCCCTGCAGTTGTGGTCCATTTCTGGCACAACGAACAGGACATGGTCTGGTATGCTATGTACTCCGGATGGAACAGTGCTCGGTGGCTAGAGGTATTCCTCTTTCGTGGTGACGCTGATATGACTCATGCTGCTGATAGTGGAGGTATGCAAAAGTAATTAAACATATGTTATATTATTTCATAATGTTATTCTACGAATCCGACGCGACAGATATGACCATTTTGTACAATATCAATTATTGACAACTGTATTGCAAAGGAAGGTGTATTTACTTGTGTTTGCAGACCAATATAACCTAATGAACTGCTTTTAGATGAAATCGCGTGTTTGTGTGCATTTTGTTTCTAAATACATTTTTTTTTACTTAATGTGTCCATACAGATAACATACAAATGGAGGCGGAGTTGATTCCTCGGTCATCTGTCATGATTTTTTTCTTTCATTGCTACAGCACGATGGACTATTTTCTAGACGGACTTATGATGCAGGACGTCAATATAATAAACACTAAACGGAAGACACTGCCAGGCTTAGTCAGATAAGAAGCATAATTATTATTTGTCTTTGGTGTCTCCTCTGTTACAATTGTTGTGATTCTGTGACGAATTTGAGTCCCTGTTGGCCCTTTTGCTGACGTTTCGATGTGATTAAATCTGTTTTCAGTATTAAAACTGTATCAATATGTCATAAACTAATTCTTAAAAATGCAAACGTAATTATTTTTCCAAAGTTCATCTTTGTAAATTTCATAGTTTTATGACAAGAAACAGGAATGCATGATAATATTTACGACCATGCGATCGGTACCTTATTTAAATGCAAATCTCGGGTTGTTTACAAATCCATGGTGCGGTTGAATTATTTTTGAGTTAGTTGAACATTTCTGTCCCCTTTCCTTGGAGTGTTATATCAGCTTTCAAGGGGAAAATATAGCGAAAACGAATATATTGTAAGCAAAATGTGATGGCAATTGCAGCTAGAACCGCCCCTTGATGCAATTCTGGTTCAGAACGTAAAGCAAAAACAAAAAGACTTTTTACTATGTAAACTACTTTTATTTTCCTAACAATTTTTAAAAATATATTGAAAAATCAATACTTAATTGATTTGCTCAACATGACTTAAATAGACATGACGTATTAAAATAGAAATACATTGTACAAATCACCTATCTCACCCTTCCACCAGCCGGTATCGCAGATAAATACGGGCGCCATCTACTGGCCACGGAGGAAAACAGGAGGACACGTGCTATGATACCACAACACCTCATTCATTATGATTATAATCCTCTTACTTCGTACAAATATTGTTTTCCGTATATATAGCTAACTACAATGTATTTCATTCTAGACAATATATAGGAATGTAAGCGTTCAACACTATTCGAATATTTACATTTATCTTTTTGCTATTTAAAATGATAATTATGTTTACAACATCAAAATACCATAACGTTTGTTCTATTTTCATAACAGTTATATATTTTCATGGTTTAAAAAGTTCTATATTTTGTCTCTGATAACTAATAAGAGTAAAATGTAGCAAGAATTGCGAGAATCGGTTGCTTATGTATACCTTCTTAATTTTCAAAATTGAGAAAGAAACTTCAGTGGAATAGACAACATTAGATGTAACGATAGTTAAACTGAAGTGTGGTTCCAGCTATCACAGTGTTCTTACATACATAAAATATACAATTATAGTTTACTATCGTTACAAGTTACATATGCAGTCAATGTGATTGCAACTATAATAGTAAACCGGACCTTCCACTCAATATGTTTCTTTATACATATACTTCAACGGACGCAACGTTTGATGCTTATTGATAAAAATGATATAAGTACACAAAATTTGGTTTAAATGTTTAACTTAGAAAATAAAACTACGTGGTTACATAACATCTTTTTTTTTATAATTTTGTTTCTATTTGTTGTTTAACGTTGGCCAAACTACATATTTATGAAAAAGAAGCAACATGGCAGCAAAAGGATCACTCATATCAAATTCAATTTGAAATATCAATTAAAAATAAATTACAGGTAAAATACATTGCATAGCTTCAAACCAAAATACATTTACTATAATAAATCATATTCAAATGTAAAGTTTTGAAAAATACATTACCGACGAGGATGTCTGCATTATTTGCATATGTTTAAAAATTTTGCATAACTGTCACACGATTGACATGGAATGTTAAATAACTGTCACACGATTGACATGGAATGTTAAATAACTGTCACACGATTGACATGGAATGTTAAATAACTGTCACACGATTGACATGGAATGTTAAATAACTGTCACACGATTGACATGGAATGTTAAATAACTGTCACACGATTGACATGGAATGTTAAATAACTGTCACACGATTGACATGGAGTGTTAAATAACTGTTACACGATTGACATGGAATGCTAAATAACTGTCACACGATTGACATGGAATGTTAAATGACAAGTACCGGTATATAAGTAGGTATTTCTATCACAGTGTTACATAAAAATCATCAGAAATCAATATTGAATGGCACTGACGTGGAAATAAATAATAGGACCATGTACACCGGTAACCACGGAAACTCTCCCTTACACCTCCTAACTCGGGTGTTCTTAATTTGTATATTTTATAATTCAATCCATTGCATACAACCTTATCACAATATACAAGTCCAGCAAAAATAGCATGCAAATATAATTTTATATAAAAATCATCAGAAATAAATATTGAATGGCACTTGTGTGTTATTAATTGCATAGATAATAAATAGGCCTATATATAGGACAATGAACACCTGAAACCACGGATACTAGGTTACTCTTACACTTCCTTATTCGGGTGTTCTTCATTTGTATATATTTTTTTATAATTCAATGGCAATTTTCATGGAGTTATACGAATCCAGTGAATACAACCTTATCACAATAGACAGCTTCATCATGCAAATATAATTCATATAAAAATCACTCTAAAACAGGTATTCAATTACTATATGTTTCGTAATTCGTTAACAGATTAAAAAGAATCCCCGTAATTCGTGAACACATTACAAACAACTCCCTTTTTATAATGGTCAGTATTACTGATGGTCATCATTTTTTTCTTGGAAAGAGAACTTTTTGATAAATTGATTGACCTCGACCATCTACAAAAGTGAAGGTCATGTTGTTTTTGACAGTTTCAATGTAAGCGAATCCACCAAGGTCTAGTGGTTTGGCCCACATGAACTTGGATGAGCCTTTTGGGACGGACTGACTGTGCTCGGTACTTGTATCCACGAAGTTGGCAGCACCGACCACGAACATGTCGGTGGTAAGTCCGGGGGTTACCATCTCTAGGTGCTGTAAAGGGAGATAATTTATGATCATTGGTATGTAAATGTTCTTCCGAATATAGTATATTTGACCATCAGTAACTGATTGTTACTTTGTTAAAATGTAGTCAGAAGAATGTTCTTTAAATTAACAATCAATCATTATAAAATTAATAATCAATATTGTTAGTTGTGTACCTACCTGTATGCCGGTACATTGTGTACCTACCCCGTCCTTAAATGACCTTAGCTGTTAATAGGACGTTAAACAAAATCAAACAAAAGTGTACATGTTGTTGGTACATTGGGAACCTACCTGTAAGTTGGTACATTGTGTACCTACCTGTATGTTGGTACATTGTGTACCTACCTGTTTGCCGGTACGTTGTGTACCTACCTGTATGTTGATACGTTTTGTACCTACCTGTAAGTTGGTACATTGTGTACCTACCTGTATGTTGGTACGTTGTGTACCTACCTGTATGTTGGTACGTTGTGTTCCTATCTGTATGTTGGTACATTGTGTACCTACCTGTATGTTGGTACGTTGTGTACCTACCTGTATGTTGGTACGTTGTGTACCTACCTGTATGTTGTTACGTTGTGTACTTACCTGTATGTTGGTACGTTGTGTACCTACCTGTATGTTGGTACGTTGTGTACCTACCTGTATGTTGGGACGTTATGTACCTACCGGTATGTTGGTACGTTGTGTACCTCCCTGTATGTTGGTACGTTGTGTTCCTACCTGTATGTTGATACGTTGTGTACCTACCTGTATGCCAGTACATTATGTACCTACCTGTATGTTGGTACTTTTTGTGTACCTACATGTATGTTGATCCATTGTGTTCCTACTTGTATGTTGGTACGTTGTGTACCGACCTGTATGTTGTTACGTTGTGTACTTACCGGTATGTTGGTACGTTGTGTACGTAGCTGGATGTTGGTACGTTGTGTACCTACATGTATGTTGATCCATTGTGTCCCTACCTGTATGTTGGTACGTTATGTACCTACCTGTATGTTGGTACGTTGTGTACCTACCTGTAAGTTGTGGTCGTGGCCACTGAGGTAGGCTGTTACTCGATATTTCTGCAGAAGTGGTAAAAGTTGTTTCACCAAACAGTCTGTTGGTCCATGCTCTGCTATGGAATACACCGGATAGTGGCCTGCCACTAGTAGGAAATCAGCTCTGAATAGGACATAAGGTAGGTGATACAGTCGTACAACTAACGTAAACATATAGGAACAATACAAGCAACAATTAGATATGTATTGCAATACGGTTATAGCAATGAAAGTGGAGTGTTAAAATTGTTAAAAAGGGAGGGTCCAATCCAATGATCAAACAATGCATGCATAATTTGTCATCCATAAAAAGACAGAGTGAAATATAACATCAGGTATATACCACTTACTACACGACAGTGCTGTATTACATCAATCAAATGTCATATTTTACACGACAGTGATGTATAACACCAATCAAATGTCACATTTTACACGACAGTGATCACCCCTGCAGGTGGGAGATTGGGAAAAGAATACACCTGCTGTTACCCACTGCATGTATCGTAGGAAGCGACTAATGTGGGAACCCCCTGTCGAATTGGGGATTTGCTTTGGTGTCCTCTATTTGGGGACACAAACGCGACCACAATAAATCTGCTGCGCCCATTGCAATATTTGGGATCTTTATCTTTCTTTCTACTTCTAACTACCTTTTATTTCCTAACGCCTTGCTTGGCAACACCTCACTTTTGACTGGAATGTTGAGCGTTCGCCCAGGCGAGGAAGGCAATGGGTTCTGTCCCCAGGCCGGGACATACCAAAGTCCTTAAAATGGTAGTTAGTATTCCCTGCTTAACGTTCAGCATTTTGGGGAATGGCAACAACTGGTTCACCCGCTGTCAGTATAATGTGACCGGGCGAAATGCTGTGCTGGGTTTTTTCGGCATGGTATTTCAGTGAGATAGCACTATGACGTCGGCATCAGATCCACGCTATCACAAGGAGGCAAGCACACCAACATACCATGTCTCCTTCATACACACACGCAAGCACGTATACACTACGCACACGGAGGCACGTCCTTAAATGACCTGAGCTGTTAATAGGACATTAAACAAGGTAAGGGTATTTGCTAGCTGCAACCTTACACAAAATATGTGTCCGAGGTTTGTAAAAACATTAATTCTTCCACTCACGTGCTCAATTGAAGCATGCTACTTATCCACGCCCATTGATCGTCTGCCACTTTGACATTGCTCGGTCCCTTGGGCTGAGCACCCTCCTCGTCCATGCCTGTGTTCCCACAGAGCAGGACTGTGTCTATCATGATGATATCCATCGTTGCTCCCCCGGGAACAGACATCGACATTTTGTAGTAGTAGTTAGGAAAATGCCTGTGTTACGAAAATGAATAAATATTTATAGAATATGTCCATTGAAAATATTTCATTCATTTATTTCTCCCGCTCATTAATCGGAGATCATTCCATTTTCACAAATCAAACTTAATATATAGGAACATGAGCTAATGTATTTGAGGCTTGATCATTTAGAGATTATACTACCGTTTTTTTCTGAACCAAAAACAGGAATATTTTCAATATAAATGAAATATTATATCATACCATCGTTTGTCAACATTTGAATAAGCGATTTGGGCAGACACGTTTCCATGGTGATCGTGATTTCCGGCGATAACATGCCATGGTATCTTCAGTGACGGGCTAGTGTACACATCTTCAAACGTTTCCTTTAACAAAAAATAGATCATCTATATACACTGTTATCATTTACTGTATCGTCTATATATAAAGCAACAGTGTTATCACTGACTGAATTATCTTGAAAACAATAACAGTGTTATCATTTACTGTCTCGTTTAAAAAGAAAGTAACAGTGTTATCATTTACTGTTTCGTTTGTATACAAAGTAACAGTGTTATCATTTATTGTATCAGATATATACAACGTAACAGTATTATCATTTATTGTATCAGATATATACAAAGTAACAGTGTTATCATTTATTGTATCAGATATATACAAAGTAACAGTGTTATCATTTATTGTATCAGATATATACAAAGTAACAGTGTTATCATTTATTGTATCAAATATATACAAAGTAACAGTGTTATCATTTTTTCNCAGAAATTAAACATGTTGTAGATAACACTAGCATACAGAGTAACATCTTGTAATTGAGCAATGAATGTTTTAGTACATGTTGTTATGGTCCTGTAATACACATTGCTATTGATGACAAACTTAATAAAGCCCGGCATTACGTAACTTTGTCAGCAATACAAAAGTGTGTTTCAGGGCCATAACAATATATGCTGAAATATTCATTATTCATGTTAACATTTCGATTGAGTAGTTACGCTTTATCAAGATATTTTGAACAGCAAATTAATTCTTGACAACAATAAACTTGATGACGTCACAAAAGAGATTGACGACGTTACAATAGCAAATGTTGTTATAGTCTCACAACAACATTTGCCTTCTCGATGCAATGCAATGGAAGGATGCAGAGCAAACGAATTATCAAATATTGAAGGCTGAATTTACATACTTTGAAGAAAAAATATTACTTTCCTTGAAAAATAGACTAAACTACATTTGGATGACAACTGCACCTGTATTATCAGATATATCTATCTACTTAGAAGGAAACGTTTACCTACTTTGAAGCGTTTGTCAGTGACGTCCTTCACCCCATCAAAGTAGAAGTTGTCCCCTAGGGCAAGAATATTCTGGGGTGCATACTGGTCAGCTACAATGCCCATCTGTTTGGCCACGCTGACCTCTACAATGGTCTTATATGGCACTACGTCCACCCCTCCCCAGTCCCCGAGCACCAGGAGCCTCGTGCTGTTGACGGCGCAGCTTTCATGGAGGGTCACTGGATGACAGTACGTAAAGGGTAATTAACAGAATACTACAAAACATATATTTCACATCACTCCAACATTATTTTCATCTTACGGAATAACAGATGTCTGGTGGTCGGGTGGTGCAGTGGATAGCGCACATGCCTTTCACCAAGGCGGCCGGGGTTCGATTCCCCGATCGGATGTGAAAAGGTATGGGGTCACCTGCCCAACCACGTGGGTTTTCTATAAGTTGAAATAACTTGTTTCACAATGGATGTAAAATTAATAAAGTTTACATTAACGGATGTCTAATAATAAATTTATAGCAACATGCCAGGGTAATTTATTTTCCGCAATGATGAATAAATACATAACGTGTGATTATCAATTTTACATTTAATTCTATGTGAAAGAATGCTGGGACTTCTCTTTTCAACACAACACTCTAGCTCTGTAAGTCTATCAATAATAATGAATTCTTGTATGATACAAATCAGATCCATTTGTCAACTATACGCACCGGATATGACATAATGATTATATCCCTAAATTATGTATGAAATATTGTATAAAGACTCGCTAATGCTCCCAAACAACAACCACCCAAATATGCCGAACTGATTGTTTTTAACAGAAAATATAATTTCCCTTGCACTGATCAAGGAAACACAACAACATGTCATGATTATCCGTCAAAAAATGTAGGAGATCTCCGGACAAAAAATCAAATACTGAAATGAACAAAGGGCAATAACGTTTGAAAAAAATGGTCGAATCAAAATTCTTTAAGGGAGACACAACTTCATTTCATGATTATAATGTAAACCAAGTTTCAAAGAGTTCGGTCGAAAAATGTAGGAGGAGATTGCCGGACAAACAAAAGTTTACGCCGGACAGACGGACGATCCCATACCACAATACTTCCGTCAAATTTGACGGGCGTATAAAAAGCAGGAGAAGAAGACAGACAACAAAAAAACAATAGGCATAGGGGCCTTTATAGCTCAACTGGTATTTCATTTATTTATTTCAAAACTTGCTGTTTGATCTGTTCCCTTTTTTTCGCTTCTTTTCTCATATTATTTGTTGGGTTTATACTATTGGCAACAGTTACTGGTACCGTTTGATTAAACCTTTCATACAGCTTAGGGGTTTGAAAGATTTCTTTCAAAGTGAGTTCATTGTTTATTTCTTGCCTGGTTGCGTATGAAATTTGAGAAAGGTCTGTCAAATACTTAATGAAAAAAATAGCGATACATATAACAAACTTGAACTATCAAAATCCAAGATGGCTGTCTGACGGCCATTTCGTCTTTTTATTAGTCCCTAAATGAAGCATGCACAAAAATAGAACACTAAAAACCTTCATATCAAATGAGAAAAAATATCTGTCATTACTTCTTGAGAAATAGCAACGACAAATTTAAATTTTGAAATCAAGATGGCAACCTTATGGCAATCTGTTGTCTCCCATTCAGTCTAATAATGCAATATGCATAGCTATGGACCAAGAGGATCTGTCGAGTGCTTCTTCAAAAATAGTGATAACAAACTTTAACTCTCAAAGTCCAAGATGGCTGCTTTGTGACCATCTTGAATTTCCCTATCAGAGGGGTTACAAAATTAAGCATGCACATCTATGGACCAAGGGAAACCTAAACATGAGAAAGATCTGTCAAATTCTTCTTCAAAAATAGCGATAACAAATTTGAAGTTCAAATCAAAGTTGGGTGCCTGGCGACCATCTTGTTTTTCCCGATCAGTCTCAAAATGAAACATGCACAACTGTCGATTTGATGAGCCTACCATCTGATGACGGTAGGTTATAAACTAACCATTGATTAAAAAACTCAGGTGAAGGAAATAAATATCATATTTTGTCTAGTTAAAATCAATGCTAGCAATCTGCACGTATTATGATATCCGTAATGAGCCTCTATCAGAGTCTGCGGCCTACGAGTGTAGTTTTGGTAAACGCTGCCAGTCTTACCTTGAAGGAAACATGCTGTCGCCCAAGCAGGACATTAACAGATTTAGGGAAATGTAAATGAGAAAAGGCAAATATTAGCGAATATTTGAGGAATTTAAGTAAACAAAGAAGATTTAACTGTAGTAAAAGGAAATTAATTTTGATTTATGGAAATAATAACTAAACATGGGGAAGTATTCCCAAATATATAGGGTAAATATGACAAACCGGTTAAACGATATAACCATTTTCGTGTAGCACATGTGGATTGTAATATTTACTTGTATGTACATGTATATTGTTACTCCTATATGTTATCTGTTGCAGTTGGAAATAAAGAAATTGAAATGGAGAAATGAGAGCCACTTTTCCACATGAATATTAATGAGGGGCGGATCATGTTTGATCACGTGATCATCAATGTTTATCCGCGGCACCATGGCAACCAACAGAAAAATAATTGTTCCCAGGCTCATTTTGGTTACGATTTTGGCGTATTTTAAGACAACTCTGTAGAATAAAAATTAACCAAATGACCATATTGAACGAGTTTTATCAAAAATAATGGGAACGGGAGTTACATAAATATATATGTCTCAGATGATTATTTCGGAGGCTAGGCTGGAATACCGGCTTTTTTTTCAAACGTTGAATTTTAATAGTTAGTTGAAAATATTAATACGAATACAAATTTCATTCAACAATAAGGCAGACGGAATGACTTATCAATTAAAAAATATAACATCATCGATTAGCTTCAAGTACATTCATCGTTATGTTATAATTTTTCGTCCTGAAAATACGTTTTTGCTCCTTTTTTGACAATTATGAGGTGATTGAGCACGTACGTCCATATATGTGAAAAACCGCACAGCCGTATAGGAAGCACACTTAAAATATCAAATGTGTACCAACTTAATTAGTATAAAAGATTGTCTACACATTTGATATTTTAAGTGTGCTTCCTATACGGCTGTGTGGTTTTTAGTGTAAATACTGTACATTACCATGGGCTTGTCGTTTATAAATGCGGAACAACCGGTCGTTCAGTTTAACGTCCTGGATCGTTTCATTAAACGAAAACGGCCCAGGTAACCACACTTAAGCGCTGTAGAATATCGTCCTTTTTATATTTACACCAACTGGTTAGATGATACTAGGTATTATACTCCACAAAATGTGTTCCTAAATAGTAGGAATCTCAGGACACGGAACAGAACAGTCAACTACTCACCTAGCAGAACACTGCATACAATAAGCCATCGTAACGATTCTACTCCCAACGCCATGTTGTTATCATGTGACACAATATACAACTGTTATGATCACATGATGAAGTCTCGTCTACGACAAAAAACACCAGCTAGACCATAGATATATCATATAACAACTTAATACAATACTTGAACCAACATAGCTAGGCCTACCACGAATCAAATTACCGAGTAGTAACTTTAGTTTTGTTAGGAGTGTTTCTGTCTTCCCTTTGTCAGAGTTACTCCCCTTTATACAATAGAATATTATTTGTGTGGATAAAGTTATGAAAACGTGAGAGTGATTTTGACCGCCAGCCTCCGTGTGACCCGTACAAGATGATCTATAGATTAAAGAAACGTTATTTATTGCCGTATGTAGCAAACATAAAACATAAGTTATGTTTTTTTTCTACAAACATAGGTACAATTTTAAAAACAACAGTAAAGTTAGATTTAACAGCATGTTATAGACAGAAAATAAATCACTACTATTATACATCAATTGATACAGGAAATTACAGCACTATGCTACACATACAAATAATGGCATATCATAAAAATTATAATGGACATAAGATTAACGCAAAATAGGATTTATAATAAATGTAACTAAAGTGTAATTACAGAAAACAAAAGATTATAATGATCACAAAATGTAAACAAAACGTACAGAAATAGAATATATCAACATACATCAAAATCACATCACATGGTTTATATCACAGACGTCATAAAACATAATCCAGAAACGTAATCAAATAATGAAGGTGTATCGAAAAACAATAATCTATTGACATGCTTTTAAGTAAAATACATTAAACATACACAAAACAAATAAAACACACACAAAAGAAATAAAACATATAACTGTAGCGAATCTATAAACTACTAAAAGCTTAATAAGAGAATAAGAACGCCCTCTTTGTTTGAAATGCGTCCAGTAATTAGGGAATGAATCTTAAGTTAGTTATATGGAAAATTTATATAGTGAAATCAATAAATGTTCAAAATCTGGAGCTCCATGAACATTGCTTGTTGTAAAAGGCAGGGATAAAGACTTTGAAGGTAAAAATGATTTTTTTTTAAATTTTTTTTTTGATTGACAAATTACACTTTGACAGTGAAATTGTCGCACGGTACGCTGCCGATGTACGTGTCGTACGGACGAGCTGTTGTAACAGCTCGTCGCAATGGCCTCCTCACAAGTTAACTTCAAAGCTTCAAAAACGATTTCCAATTAAATCAATTAATCCTTTAGTTTACGCACAATGGTAAAATACAATCTCCCGTTATCAGTGAGTATACATGCTTAAAAAACGATTTCCAATTAATTCACCTGATTGAATAACGAACATAACAAACAAAACTGGGCCCGTATTCATGAAACCGTTTTCACGCTCAAGAATGGATTCTGTGCTCAAACCAACTTTCTCGTAATTAACTCGCTTAAATCATGTCAAACAATCAAAAAGTCAAATGTAAACATTTAAAACCGTTGAGCTTGAGAATGGTTTCATGAATACGAGTCTTTTGCAAAATACTCTATATTCTAAACAGACGAGTAATACTCCACACGTCAACTCTCCTTGTGAGTGTGTGAACTCAGTGACAGAATGGCTATATTGTTATTGGTTAACACACATCATTGTCTTATATGTTTAAATCCTGCATCCTTTACTGTAACTATTCTATCAACCAAACAATCCGACTGGTACCAGCATCTGGTATTGAACCAAATAAAACGCTTTACAATCAAACATTTGCCTTAAAAGAACACATACAATCAATTTACAAGGTAGTATAATATATATACAGTCGAACCCACTTAATTTGAACTCGGATAAAGTGAAATACCGGTTAATTTGAAATAAAAAAGAATCCCCGTCCACATGCCTTCTTTGTCTTTGTTGCTATATATCGCTTAATTTGAAATAGATTAATTTGAAATACCGCTTTAATTGAAAGGTAAATTATTTATATATATGAAAGCATGCAATTAAAATATTATAAAAGTACTCGCCCGTATGGATACACCATCACTTTAGACATTGGTACAGATGCGTAGGTGCTCAACTGTCATCGACCGGTTTGTTTGACACGCTATCAAGGTAAGTTATACTTTCATACAAGAATGTATTGCATGCTATTTATAACTGACTTATTTCCTACCCGATTTAACAAAGGATTACAGATTTGCATTGACAATACTTGCCCAATATCCTATTTTGTTATAATAGTAATTGGCTTTGGTAATAATTTGTCAACTGTTTTGATTATATTACATGAAATGATCGGATATGACTTGACAACAAAATGGCGATCGGGTCTTTTTCGCTCACCTGTTTCTTGTGTAAGACAAGAAGTTGAAATGTTTTTCGCTAGCTTGAGACCATGAAGTCCATCTTACTTTTCTTATTGACCAAAACAATTAAACTGAATTTTGTAAAGGGAGAGAAAGGAAAACCTATACGACGCTTGTCAAAATTGATCAAGAGGATTCATATAAAGAAAATAAGAAATAAGGACTGCCTCCACACATGTAATGTAAGCGTGTGTGCTGGATGCGCTATGTTGGTGAATTTAGCCTCCTTGCGATAGTACGTATAAAATGCCGACTGTTAGAGTGCTACCTCACTGAAATACCACGTCCATGGTTATACACTTTACACTTGTTACATGACCTGGTAAAAAAGAGATATTCTTACCCTTTTCCTCGATCTTTCCGGTATGGTTGTACCTATTTGGCAAAGTCGTAGATTCATCGAAACGCAGGCATCCGCCAACCCTTCAGTTAAGCATCGGTGATTTCCCTCAGCTAAGAGGTGGTGTATAGCAACCCTACTTAAGGAGTTAAAAGGTTAACCCCATATACCCCTGTCGGGTGTGGATCCTTTTCTGTGGGTAAGGTTAGTTCCTCTTTATGTCAGCCATTTGTCAATCCTTTAGTTTACGCACAATGAGAAAAATACGATGTACTGTTATCAGTGAGTATGCATGCTATAACGGCTGTGCCACCAGACGACCATTTAACTTATTGCTTTAAGAGGGGGAAACATTTTCTAGCAATCTATGCCAGGAAAATACGATTGGTTTCGTACATTTTCCTTATTGCTGTGATCTATTCTTTTATTCTACCAATCTAATATTCATGGCGTACATACATGCACAGGCACATATTAATCTTCATGAGTTTTTCACTTATTGAAAAAAGAGAGTTCGTTGCTGCTTTAGACTCAATAAAAATGCATATAAGAAAGTGATAGTCTGCAATTTAACACGATGGTATGATATTATGATTTTTTTAAGGTTTCACACAAGACTTTTCCTGATGTCGCGAGGACGATGTGCCAAGCTGACGTGTAACTTCATAAGACACAATCTGCTGATAAAATGCATGATATTGTCAATGTTCGTTGGGATTGGGCTTGGTTGTGTAATAAGAACATCGTGGTCGCCATTAGAGAAAAGAAAAATCGCCTATTTGAGGTTCCCTGGAGAAATTATGTTCAGTACACTACGGATGGTGTCTGTGCCACTCATTGTCTCGGGTATTGTCTCTTCCCTGGCCTCGTTATCGATGAAGACTTCCGGTAGTATCGGACTGAGGGCGTTGGTCTACTACTTGACAACCACTCTTTGTGCTGTCGTCACTGGTATCGTTGTGGCCGTGATAGTTCATCCTGGACGCAATACGGTAGACGTATTCGACAAATCAGTTAATGCAATAAACCATTTGGACTCATTTTTGGACATAATAAGGTTTGATATAATTATTTATGCTTATTATTTAATTATTTGTGGATGTTTTAAGCATGTATTATAGAAGTGAAAATGATAAATGTAAGTTAATTTAACTATTAATAGTAGCTACTGCTTCATTCGATTTGCTTTCCGGTGTTGTTGCTCGAAGCACCCATCCTCATATGATCTTGGCTGTTGCGAGGACCTTAAGCAACAAATGACTTGCTTGTGACGGTTTTTTTCTTTTTCTTTTCCCCATTTAGAAATACTTTTCCGGACAACATTGTGGAGGCAATACTTTCAAAGGTATATCTTTTCGTGTAATTTCATTGTTTTATATATTTATAAATATTGTAGTGGTCCACTTCATTTGGAATGAATTGTCATTGAAACACGTAGTAGAGGATAATAGTTGGCGCTTCCGAAATTCAGTTTCCATCTGATGTTGACGTCAATTTGTCTGTGGGGATCACCATTTTATTTTTTTGATGTTTTTATTATCTTTCTGCATCTTATATATAATATTCTTTTGCCATCATTAAGTTAATACATTGCATTTTTGTTTTGTATAAGGTACAGTTGATTTCATTTTCTTTTGGACTAATCACCCCATTTCTTTCGCACTCGCTTTCATTCTATTTTGTGAAAGTTGAAATTTCAACGCTAAAGTGATTCTGCGCAGCTGTTTAGTTTATTTGATGCCATTTGATTTTAATTTTTCATATTCCGTTTTTGTTTATGACCAGTTAACCGATGTTATGGCAACTCACGTTTTGTATTGATAATTGTGAAAATTGGTAGTCAATAGTTACTTGTGCGTACTGAACATATTTATGTGTTACGGTTTGAAATTTGATGTCATCTTTACCATTGCAAAATTTATCGTAGAAGCAAACGGTGGTGAAAGAAGAAATCCGGGAAATTGGCGTCGAATCTTTTCCAGGTTTTAATAACTCAGAAGGCGGATATCATATTTTTGTAAATACCTCAGGTATGTGTTGATATAAATCATACACATTACTAGAATTATATCCAATAATCTTACATTACATGTAAGTCAACAAAATAAAGTGCGATATATATATATGATATATGAGACAAGGTGTTTCGAATAGCTTGTCGTCTTCTGACAACATCTGCCATGTTAACCAAAGTCACATTCCCAGTAATATCCCGACTACAAATCGCGAATTGGGGTAGTGATAACGACAGACACGGACACAACGGTGAGCAAACTCAAACACATCGCCCTTCATATCACTTCAGGGCATAGAATATATCCAAGGAAACCACGAAGGCGACAATCACACTTGTCCATACTCCTCATCAACATGCACCTCTCATAATCGTGATTTGTTATTTATCAGTCATGAGTCGACACAAAAATCCTTATAAACGAAATAACCTATTGAATACCACAACAATTGGGCATGTAAACAGAGGCAATGATGCCGCAGCTATAAAGAAAACAAAGTTCAAGGCCGGAGAATAGAAATTACCACTCTTATCATACAGCCTGGTAGCTCCTGTTGATCAAATTTTCAATAAAGATCAAGATAAAAGATGAAGAGCACTAAGCGAAGGCTAAAGCAAAGAGCGGCACACCTTCCGGAACACCTGGTCTTGTTCTCTTTGTACTTGTTTGTTCACATTTTGGTGGGTTTGAGTTCGAATGACTTTTTTGTTGACATTTCGGTGTCTCTTGTTGTCTCATTAGTGTAAAAGCATGTTAGTTTTAATAGTGAAAAACCCCCAGTAATTTTCTGATTTAAGTTCTTAAAAAAATACATACCGTTTATATTATTTCTGGAGTGTGAGGTAATGAGGCTATAACTATAATTAAATGTTTCTAAGAAGTGTAGCAAGGCATTTGGTAGCAAGATGATATTTTGGATAAGATTTTGTATTGTTGTACCTAATTGTGTCCAATCAAGTCATGAAATATGTCTGGGAAAATAGCTTGCATGGAACACTGCTGTCGTCAAAGTCGGTAGAGTATTTACCAACACTGCAAAACTAATATTTCATACATATCGTTTCCTTAAATAGGATGAAATGCCTTTAAGCTGAATGCTACAAGTAGAAATGGACTTAATGTTATTCTCAATGCAAGTATTTCCCCTGTTCATATTTTACCGTAGTTATAGCGACTTTGAGTTCGGATTAGTTTCGATTTTTGTTGACATTTCGGATTTCTTTATTCCCCCCCCCCCCCTCCTAGTAGGTAGGTCTTTGACAATCGAAGTCCCCGGACTGATATCTGTCCCTGGGACAAACATGCTTGGCCTGATTGTCTTCTCCATTCTTATCGGCTGTATCCTGTCTATTATGGAGGAAAAGGCCAAACCAATGACTGACCTCTTCCGGTGTATGTACCAGGTGGTGATGCGAATGATTGCTATATTTATTTGGTAAGTAAATACAGAAAATCTTATTGGAGACAATTGTTTTGAAATGAAATTATGCATCCCTTTACATGGCAATATATACGAATGCAATTCCACCATGCACACATGATGCGTATCTTAGAAGATAACAGTAAACTGATACTTCTTGTATAACATTCACTTTCATAAATACGAATTGACATATATTTGATATCAGTACATGTCAATAGCCATTTAGCATTTCAAAGCAAGGAGGTGTTCCCAACGCAGATCTAATGATATCATTTTTGATAGGGATTGATCTATCACAGGTTGTAGGAGCACTTCATTTCTAAAGTCAGTTGTTATACATCATCAACTCATTGCATAAACATGTGTATGTGTTGCAGGTTTATTCCCGTGGGACTGATTTTCCTTATAGCCTCCACGGTAGTACAGACAGAGAGGCCCCTGGTCGTCCTCCAGGAATTGGCAGTCTTTTTCCCTACTGTAGTACTGTCCTTGTTGCTGCATGGATTTGGAACCTTACCATTGTTATACTTACTGGTGACAAGAAGGAATCCATATACATTCGTCCGTAACATGTCTAAAGCTTTGCTGACAGCGTTTGGTACGTCCTCCAGGTAAGGCAGGAACACAACTTCGCGCAAGGATTTCAGCATTATCTATGTAAACACGGTTATCAGAAATCAGCCAACGGCCATTGTTTGTGATACAAAGCCGATGATATGATTACATTTGAAACATGTTCTTCAGTATAGAAAAAAATAATCAACACGTATTATAGAGATAACTAATCTATTCCACTCAATACTTTTTCGTTTGTGCGATGAACGTCACACACACATGCTCCTTCATTTTTTAAATTTTGTAATATATACAGTATGCCAAAAATGAATTACATGCATCAAATAGCTCTTTCGTACAGTACTCATCGCTGATCCTATGGGCCAATAAACTGGAAATCCAATTTGGTATAAACTACTGTTAAACAGAAGAAGAGGTGGTTAAAAGCCCCGAATTTATGAATTTCAAAATCAAGAGAAGCAATCGTTAGTTAATAATCAATTAGTAGAGTGTGTATTTTATAAATCATGTTACTACCTTAAAGAAATTATAACTATGTTATGATTATAGCGCTGTGACACTCCCCGTAACAATGGACTGTCTGGTCAACAAGAATACCGTTGATAGTCGAGTTGTCAACTTCATCACTCCAATAGGTGCCATTATCAATATGGACGGATGTGCCCTATATATTCCTATGTTAACAATATTCTTTTCCCAGCGGCTCGGCTTGACGTTAGATTTCGGAAACTACTTCATAATTGGGTAAGCAAGCCATCGCTGTAAAACATGTACATTCGATTAACATGCTGAATCATTAAACCAATTCAATTTAATGTAAATCAATCAAACCCATTTATTTGTAATATTCGGACACATAAAACACTCGCTCCGTGATGAAATCAACCTGCTTGACCGGCTTGTTATACTTGCATATTTGTGTTTTTAATCAACTTACCCTGAATGGTCATGACCCTTTAAAGTTTGCAATGAATAGATGCAATGTACTGTAAGATCAACAGTGTTTATGACATGTGTGCTTAGAAGTCAGGTTTTATCAATATAATTTGGTAAAAGTCGTAAAATGTACATTGCTATCGTTCCAGTGTTACTGCTGTTGCCGTTTCGATAGGAGCGGCCAGCGCACCTGGAATTGGAATAATTACAATGACGATCGCAAGCATGGCAGTAGGTCTACCTGGAGATCAAATACTTCTTGTTGCCCCCGTAGACTGGATTATGTAAGCAATCGTATATATATTATACATAACTGGCTGGATGAGCAAAATGTTCATTATTTTAGTATTAACGGTTTAAGCTTTTCGTTTAGGCTCCTTGATTCTGTTGTGTATTGATATAATTGTCATATGATTTTTTTTCTATTTAATTTAAGTNGGCGATATGTGTAAACAAAGGATAACATGTCATAATCGCCTCTGATATTGGTTGGGATTCATAATTATTTTTTATACACATGGTTTTTAGATACTTCATTTGCTTCTGCTTACACCAACTTAAACTATATGGCATCAAAGGGCGATATATGAATAAGTATGAGATTAAATAGAATAATTGTCAATACAAACCCGAAACAGGTGACGTTTTCGTGAATATGGTTTAACAAATTATTATCATTATGGTTTGTTACTACAGTGAAAGGTTCCGAGCTGTCGTCAATGTTAACGGCGATTCACTCGGGGCCGGAATAGTCAATCATTTGTCTTCTAAAGTTCTAAACAGCGAGACAGACAGCAAGCAGGAGACTGACGCCAAGGACAGAAGCAGGTCTATTAGCCTCGGAGAAACAGAGGGTCTGGTGTGATACCTGATGGTCATTGTCGTTACAGTGCAGTTCAAATGTTGCATGCACTCATATTGAATTATTGACATAAGTATACAATACAGCTCGAATAAATGCTCAGTTCATATGAAAATAAGCAGTATCATCTGAAAGCTATAGCAACATTGTATCTTCTATTTATTTGTATTTTTAGTTATTTGCATCAAACTATGATTTTTTGATGTAATTAACATATTAATATTTCTGTGTAAAAAAGGGAACAATATTTAATTGGAATCTGTAATCACTGTATTTGGTATGTTTGCTGCTGTTTCGCTGTTTAAATAAACATGAATATTCATATCTGAAACAGTATTCAATTTTTCTATTGCTGTTTCTATGAAGGGGTTAAAGTGTATATACTCAACGGTTTCAACTTTATTTGAGGTAATATTGTATATGCATTAGGATAATTATCTATAAATATTTAAAGAATTTTAGAAGAATTCACTTTATTAATTTTATATCATCGTAGTTGACCTTGTATGATTTAACAAATGACTGCATCATATTGCCATTTAATGTTTGATGTGTATTGGTGTTGAAACTGTAGATACATTACAGCACTGTTATTCAGTGTATACCTACATTCATTCAGTACTGTAATTCCATACCACTATGTCCTACATATAAATCTTAAAAGTATTCATCGATCAACACATTGTCCTCAAAATCATAAAACCTTGAGTGTTTTACAATTATTATATAATCCTTCACGTGTGATAATTTTCATTATTCCATTTTTATATTAGTATAACCAAAACTCTAAATACTTATTAAGTCTACTAATATACGAGATGATGCGTTCCGATACCAAATATCGCACCTGATCTGGTAAGGGAAAACAGAGCTATAATTTGATAGATAACTTCTTAAATTCAGATGAAGCGATTTCGACCTCAATTGGTTAGAAAATCCATTGGCCAAGGCAATTCAATCTGGTATAAATGAAGGTTGTGGTCCCCCAAGGGACTAGATTTAATTATGAAAAAGAGACAAAATTTAATAGTTCTTCTCTAGTGATATTAACAAATATTAACGAACTTAGTGTAAAATATCACCACATTAGCAAGATGTTTTGTTTTTGCTGGCTCACTTATATCCAAAGGACTTAGACGTGCTGTAAATTCACATTTGCCAGTTTACGAATTTCTCAACTTCTACCATTCCTGATCTAATAAAAGTTATTATGGTGTCAGGAACAGATGCTGTTATAGTTGATGATGTTGTGTTCCAAATTTTCCATTCTGTCCTGTGCTTATCCTATGCATTTTTGTCAAGTGTTTAAGATAAATTTTTAACCACATGTTGTGCAAATGTTCATTTAACTGCCGAAGGCGAGTGATGTTATTTAAATTGATAATTTTTCTTTCAGTTAAAATGGTAGACAGCAACCGAGGTTTCAAATCAAAGGATTAATTACAGCTTTCAGTCGTTTTCGACAAAAATCATACGAACGGTTATAAGCTACAGAAGGCATTATGCATTCTGTGGCGGCTAGTATATATTAACATTACACATACATGTTAAAAGTATAATTACCTTGGCATGTCAAAGTGAACTTTATTTATAGCAATAAAAGAACATCTGTTGCTTAAGTCACCATCAACTATTTAAAATTAATGTGCATATAATAATAATAATATACAACGTTTATATTGCGCCGTATATATTATGTAAAATTACTCTAAGGCACTTTACCACATATGGATACTAAATAGTATTAGTATAGTATTATCTCATATAAGATAATTAACAAATGTCATCGCTAACATTTTTAGATATATAGTAGCCATTGTTTTAATTGGTTTTGTATTTATTATACAGACATCATATTCTTTTATCATTTCATACAAGCTGTTCCTCTTCCCCTTCGCTGATATTTATGTGTTTGTGTGGTTCCCCAGCGAGCACGGAGCGACACAGGTGATTGCCGATGCCTGCACCCCACTGACATTGACCACTGTCCGAAACCGTTCACTGGAAAAAATATATGTTTAATATGATATTATATTTGTTTTGCGCCGTTAAGTTAATCAAAGTGCCGAGGGCACTCAGGGATTTTGTGTATAAAGCATTCAAATAATGGAATAAAGGAGGTGGTATATCAGTACAGAATGGCAGTAAATAATAAAGAACATGTTGTTGAGTAAGGATCATACTAGTCCATCTCTTAATCATAATTTTCAATAAAAATATATATAACAAGCAGAGGATTGCTAAAATAATTGAAACTTGTCTGATATTATGGTCCTTAATTAGTGTTTTAAATCGATGGAAATCCTTCAAGGAATGAAAGGGCTACAGCGCAGGCAATGATCTTTTTAAAAATAGTAACAGTGACCTTGACCAGACAACCCTGCAAAATTGTCGCGTAAGATTATGGGAAAGTTAATTTACGATTAAATAAAAAAATAAGATAATTATGATATGATTATTACAATTTGTTATTATCATGATTAATTATACAAAAAAAACACCAACGAGATTTATTTCCAGTGCGTGTAATCACGGTTTTATGCAAGTCCCTTGTGTATCTCTCCTTTTCTCGATATTTTAACGAAGGTTAAAGACCTACATGTATATAATTATTCAGTTTCTGGTTAATATGAATAATATGTATATACGGTTTTAAATTTTGATGTTTAATATTCATTATTCACGAAGCACTTGCATTATACTAATCGGGCCATTATCTAGAGACTGTATTGGGAAGCTGTCTACAAACTCGTTAGGCACAGCTGCTGTCGCATTGGGAAGCTATCTATAAACTCGTAAGGCACAGTTGCTGACGGCTTTTTTGGTATAAGTCAACATTTTCTTTCACATTCTATTGAGACAAAGAAAAAACGAAGCCTACTTTATCAAGGACAGTTATCAAACAGTCGTTCAACAAGTCGCGAGAATGAAACTACGCAATTATGGACAAGGGGGAAACACTATTACACACACACACTTTAGATTATTTGAATACGAGGCGTAGTAATTTGAACCAAATATAGTTTGGAAATTTCACTGATTAAAAACGCCACTGTTAAAGATCTTTGCATATTTTCTTTTGGCTTATACAGATATACTGTACCATATTATAGCATTGACCATATCATGAAATAATGAACACATTATCTAAAGATCTTTCGCGGAAGGAGATTAAGTACTGTTGTTTTTTTTGTGAAGAAATTATTCGGTCCAAAAAGCGTAGTAATCTGAGATTGATATAGTTCATGATGCTCACTGAAAAAACTCGCCTTTTCGTTAATTTTTTACATTTTTTCTTTGATTTATTGATCGTTTTCATAAGTATTCCATCATTTTATAGCATTAATAATACCATGAAATAATCAACACAGCATTTAAAGATCTTCCGCGGATGAAAAAGTCTGTTTTTTGGTTTTGATTTGCCCAAGCTTGCCGAGGACCGCTATGAATGCTGTACACAATATCCAAAAGTACAGACTTCGGAACAAAATAAATGATTTGTTTCCTTTTATGTTCTTGCTATATGAAAATATAATAGCATGCAAAATAAAAGAATAATAGTGCTTTTATAGCACACCGATACATGAGATGGAAACATAAAACAAACAGCGATAGGAGCTCGAAAGGAATGCGTTGAATAATATTGAAAGTATATTCTCAGCAGTATATAAAACGCTTACCTTCCAAGAATGTTGCTTTTGTTAATCTGTTTGTTTCCCTTAAAAATGCAGACTTTCAACTCCCTGTCTTTATTAATTTATGCCTTGGTTTATCTCATCATTGTCTAGCTTTGCGTGTTATGATTGTGTAATGGTACATGGTTGTCATTATGGTCATGTTGTTCTGTTTATTCTACAGTATAGTTAGTTCTTGTATATGTCACCCTGGTGGAATACTAGCCGCTTTCTACCGACTACACTAAGGAGATTTTCTCTTCAGTTCATTCGGTAGAGGTCCCGGGTTCGACTCCTAGTGAAGGCATTAAAAAAATGACTTCTGTCACATTGGCGCCCACGAAGGGACCCGTGAAATATTGACAAATGACATATAGTGTCTCTCTGAATCTATTCTCTCTGAATTTGCACTACATTTTTATTTTATTATTAATACTATCCATATGCGGTGATATTCACCCGAACCCCGGTCCACCCAACTCCCACATCCACCTAGATTTTATTTCTATTTGTCATATCAATATTTGTTCGTTAAGGAACAAAACTCATATTCTTGATGCTGAATTTTCCGAATACGATATACTGTGCGTCTCTGAAACTCATCTTGATAATTCAATTCCTGATAGTGCTGTATCTTTGAAAAACTTTGGTAATATTTTTAGAAAGGATAGAGATAATTATGGTGGCGGAGTTCTGATTTATACTAAACATAATATTAATATTAAACGTGGACCTGACCTTGATACAGATGATCTTGAATTAATATGGACTGAAGTAACTACCCATAATAAACCTATTTTTCTTGGCTGTATATATAGACCCCCTAACTCTCTCGTTGGCTACTGGGACAGGCTAGATATTAACCTAAATAATATTATTGATCTGCAAAGGGAAGTAGTCCTGGTAGGTGATATAAATCAAGACATGTTACATCTAAATCCAAACTCACATCTACATAGAATTTTGTTGAAATATGGGTTAGAAAACACTGTTACTGAACCTACCAGGATTACTTCCCAGACCTCAACATCACTTGACACTATACTAACAAACAATGTTAACTTTATTAAAAATACAATAGTACATCCTCCCTCTTGTAGTGATCACTGTCCAGTAAGCGCTGATCTGAAATTTAAAACTTTAAAGAAACATGCATATAAAAAGACTTTATTATACTTCAATAACACTGACTTTGACGGGGCAAATGAGTATCTTAAGTCCATTGACTGGAATCTTTTATTACAAGGTGATATTGAAAATATGAACTCTCTCTTAACTGATAAAATCCTAACTGCTATCGACCTATTCGTGCCCCATAAAACAGTAACA